TGAACATGAGAGAGGTCCTCTCCCGCTCCTCGACCTCGCCGTCGACGTCAGCGCCTTCGGCGCCCCGCGGCAGCAGTCTGGCGACGTCCTCGAGGCCGTGCACCTGCAGCCAGAATCGCTGCGACAAGTAGCAGGGGCGAAAAAGCTGGCCTGGCGAGCGCCCCTCGCACTTGCGCTCGTCCTCGTGGTGATACTCGAACGTCGCGACGGTGGTCCGTTGCTCCTGCGCGAGCCCTAACTTCTCCTTCAGCTCCTTCTGCGCGGCCGTGAACCGAACCTCCGTGCCGATGCGTGCCGACAATGAGCCGCGGATGCCCCCCGCCCTATGTCTGGGGCGCGCAGGAGGCGCCGGCCCGCGCCTGGATCCCCTCGCATCGCGCTGCGCTCGTCTACGGCCTGCAGGAAAACGGGAGGCGCGCTGAGACTCCGCGCGTCGCGACGAGCACGCGCGTTGATCCACCCCGCCAGCGTCCCCCAGCTGATGCCGACGCCGGAGGCGCTGGTGCCGAAGGGCCCATGGCGCCGCGGCTGTCCGGAGCCAACGTCTTCTCCGACGCAGGCCCGACCTCCGGCGGAAGGGCCCGCCTCGCGCGCCCAGCACAAGAACGCGACCAGAACGTTCCTGGGCTCGAAGCGAATCGTGCCCATCAGCTCCAAGACGCAAGGGATCTCAGAGAAGACCTTGATGGCGCGCTGAGTCCCCGCCGTCGACGGCCCCGCGCACGCGCGCGACCCGTCGCCCAGCTGCTCGGTCACGTCAGTCAGGGAAACGACGCTGCCGGTGGGCTTCAGCGGCAGGGGGTCGCTGAGGCGCAGCGCGATGGGGGCGCGCCCGAAGTGGTGGCGCGGCTACTTGCAGGTGGGCACCTGCACGTCGCGCGCGCCACAGCGCCCGCAGCCAGGCGCGAAAGTCCAGCGCGCTGCGCGGCGCTGCCGCTGCCGCACTCGCCTCCTCGATGGCGCAGGGGCGGGCGCGCCCCCGCGGCCGCGCCAGCCTCTCCCGCGCGCCCCCGCGGCCTCATCTTCGCGTCGGTGCCCTGCTGAACTCGCAAGGGAGAGGCGCCGTGCAGCGCGCTGGCCTTCGCTGTCTCCGCGGAGATGCCCTCCGCCTGCTCGCAAGAGATTTCCGCGACCGTCGCGGCGCCCTTGTCCAGCGCAAGCGAGGGCCACGAATGCTCCACCACTGGGCAGACGACGCTCTACACCGCGCGCGTCTCTCCCGAGCCGCCCTGGCCAAGCAAGAGCAAGTGCGCGACTTCTCTCTAGCCCCAGGGATTCCTCTGCGCGTCGCCCCCCCAGCCATCGTCGCGGGCCTCGGCGAACTTGGCGACGGGAAGTCTCTGATCCTCTGGCCAGCCATCATGTGGCGGCGACGCGCGCGCCGGGCGCGGAGGGCGCGCGGCCGTCGAACCTGGCCGCCGCGGGGGCGCCGCCCAGGCCCCCGTCGCCCTCGCCCGCGCCGTCGTCGGCGTCCGCGCCATCCTCGCCGCGACTGCCCCAGGGGTCGCCGCGCAGAGTCGCCCAGGCGCGTCTCTCCACGCGGGCGGCCGGGGCCAGGCCGCCGTCGCAGATGCGGTCGCGGCCTCCGTCGGCTCGGACGCGCCCGCGCCCTCGCAGGCCGCCTCGGGCGCGCGCGGGGGCGCGTGGAACTGCTCGGGCAACTTCGCGAGGCGCCGACGTCGCGCGAAGTTCGGCGCCTGGGCCGGCTGAAAGCGCGCTCGGATCGCCGAGGGGGGCGCGCCGATGCAACGCGCCCCCGCCCGCCTCGGCGTCCTCGTCTTGACCGGCGCCCCCGCCGATGGTCGCCTTGAGGTGGGCGCTCTGCGCGGCCGCGTCGCCCCGGCGCTGCTGGGGCCCCTTCTCCTCGCTCGCCAGGGCGACCCCCCCGAGGTTTGGCGCCGCCTGCGTGGCTATCGCGGAAGCGTACTTGCGCATCGTCGCCACGGGCTCTCCCCTCTTGGGGCGGCGGGCGGGGCCCGCCGAGTCGCCCCCTCCCCCAGGCGCTCCGCCCGAGACTGGCGCAGCGCGAAGGTCCTCCTTGAACTCCTGCGCCTCCCAGATCGAGGGCCACTCGTGCCGCGCGAGGACAGGGGGCCGCGGGGGCGCGGGCCCCCTCGCCCGCCCGAGCCACGCAGTGCGCCCAGGTTCGCGCGAAACAAGTCGATCCTCGCGCGCTCGCGCCGGCGGCATCCATCGGGGGCGCGAACGCTTGCAGCGCGGGCTCGTCTTCTGGCGCCTCTGCAAAGACCTGGGGAGCAGCTGCTTGTAGAGGCGCGCGGTCTCTCCGTCTTTCTTCGTCGTCGGCGCGGCGATGTCCTCGAAGAGGGGCGAGCGGGGCTCGGGGGCCAGGCGGCCGCCCGCGGGTCGCGCGGGTCGCGCGCAGCGCGGCGCGAAGTCGACGTCAAGGCGCCGCGCGCGGGCCGCGTCTATCCACGGGCCGTCGGAACCCTCGCAGCGGTAGACCAGCATGGCGCGCGCCTGCAAACTCGTGTGCTCGAGGGCCGGGTCGCCGCCGCGACGCGGCCACTGGTCCGGCGCGCTCGCGGCCCCCGCGACGCGGAAGCCGCCCGACTTCGGGGCCCCCTCGCTCTCGGAGCCCATGTCCTGCCTGAACTTCGCCGGAAACGACGCCGCCTGGCGACGATCGGCCGCGCCGCGCGCCGCCTTGGTCGCGACGTCGCGCTCGTGGGCCGCCAGGATGTCCAGGAGGCGCTGGCCCCCCAGGCCCTGGTGCACCGCCCGCCCATCGTCGTCGCATTCCTCGCGCCACCCGTCGAGCGCGCGCGGGTCGACGCCGCATCCGAGGTACTGAGCCGGGGGGCGGCCCCCGTCCTGCTGGGCCCGATGGCGGAGAGAGCACCCGCGCTCGGGCCGCCGCGCCCCCGCCGCCAGGAGGAGCCCGTCTTGATGCAGATCGCTCAGCAGCTGCGGGGCGCGGGGGCGAGGTGGCCACAGACGGTAGAGGGAAACGATTAGTGAACACCCCCCCCCTGCCCCCCAAACTCAAGGTTGGCACGCGCAGGGGAGTCTGCGGTCGAGGTGCAACTCATCAGACCCACCGCCAACTTTGAACATTGGGGGGAGGGGGAGGCGCTCACAGATGAATGTGGCATGAACGTTCGCTGTTTTTCCGAGACCTGGATGATCGGGAACAGCATCTCCGCCCCGCTCCCCAATGGCATCGGCGGTGCGACGCGAACTGATCTTGCACCAAATCCGGCGCCTCTCCGAACTTCGTTGCCCCCGAGCGCTCTCCGCTCGGCGGCGGACAGAGACTTCTCGGGGTCCCCTCCGCGCTCCTGCAGCTCCGGCTTCGCCTGCTCCTGCTGCGCCTGCCGCTGCGCCTGCAGCCGCTCCAGGCCGCGTCGCGCCTCTCCGCGAAGACGCACTCCGTGCTGGGGCACTGCCTCGTCGTGCAAGAGTGTATGTGGAAGCGCGTCTTCGGGCCGTCGCTGAACGCGGCCTGGGCGTCCCATTCTAGCTGGTCCGCGAAGGCAGCCATGGCGGCGTGCCCTCCGCGGCCTCGCTCTCCGCGTCCTCCGCTTGGCACTGCGGCATCGTGCCCCGCCGCTCCTCCGGCGAGCAACCGTCAGTCCACGCGAGCGGCTCTTCCTATGGCACCTCTGGGCGGTTGACACAAGTGTCGGCGTCGCCCAACTCGCGCGCGCCCATGTATCTCAGCCTGGGTCGCGAAAAAAAGTCTCCAACCACGCCTTGGGGTCGCTGACCTGGCGGAGGTCCTGCGCGTCCAGGTTGAAGCACCCAGCCGCGGCTCCGGCGTAGTCAGTGATGCACTCTGACGGGTGGTGCTGGAGGTGCAACAAACAACCCTGCACGCCGTGCGTCGAGGACGGAGGATCGCGCCGCACCGCCGATACATCGGAGATGCATCGTCTGTGCATCGGAGATGCATCGGCGATGCACTGGCGATGCATCGTCGACGTGGGCGATGCATCGGCGACGCCAGCATGGAGAAAATAGGGCTCCACATCGAGCCGCATCGGCGATCCATCGGCGACCCTCCGACCCTATCTACTCCGACCCCATCTAGGAGGCCTAGACGATCGCGCCCCCAGGTTGCCTTTCTCCCTGGGCTTTCACACGCGTTGCCTGGGCTTCTCGCAAGCCCCCCCTCTCTTCTGGTAGCCAGGCAAACAAACTCTGACAGTCGCTCTGCAACGCTTTGTCCTGAAACGCCGAAGCGCTGCCGATCGCGCACCGCACTCCGGCCCCATCTACTCGGACCCCATCTGGAAGCTGGAAGGCCTAGAGCCGTCGCTCTGAATGCTGTCCTTCTCATTTTCCGGAAGCGCTGCCGATCGCGCACTCTTCTGGGGAAACCAAAAGGTACCGATACCGCTACTCACCGGACCTCTCCTGGGGTGCGTTCTGGCCAGAATTTCCAGGCGAATCCAACGGTGGCGACGAGGGCCTCCGAGGAGGCCCAAAAAGGGGCACACAGGCGAATGGCAGCGACCCGGACATCCAGCTGCTTCATTGTTTTCACTGCGTGGGCCCCGGAGGTCAGGACCACTTTTCTAGGGACGGTTTTTCGTCCTGAATCGTTTTCTGACGCTCCCGAAGCCACGCGAGGGCCCCCAGAAGCCGAAAACAGCACCGAACCGCCTGCTCCGATTTCTGCTGGGCACCAAAAATGCATCAACAAGGTCAGAAAATAAGGAACAAATGGCCCCAGACTCTTTTTGGAGCATTTTTTCCTTACTTTTGGGGTCTTTGCTATTTTTTCGTCGAAAAATCACCCTGTAGGGGGACAGGCCCGACTTAATGCTGGCGCCACGCGCCCCTCCGGAGGAGAGGAGGAGGAGGAGGAGGAGGAGGAGGAGGAGGAGGAGGCGGAGGCGGAGGCGGAGGCGGAGGAGGCGGAGGAGGAGGCGGAGGAGGAGGAGGGGGAGGAGGAGGTGGTGGGCCCACCCCATACATTTCCGAACGAGATCCGCTCTGCGATGCTGGCGCCACGCGCGCCCCTCCGGACGCTCGGCTCAGTGGTGGTGCTCCTCCCGCGCGGCGCACGGCGGCAGGTGCGCGGGCCGCGGGCCGAGGCGCCACCGGCCCTCGCCCGGGCGCCCCGCGACCTCGGCGGGGCACCAGTGCACGCCGTCGGGGCTCAGGGGCTCGACCTGCTCCTCGGGGGGAGGAGGAGGGGGAGATGGAGGAGGAGGAGGAGGAGGAGGAGGAGGGGGAGGAGGAGGAGGAGGAGGAGGAGGGGGAGGAGGAGGAGGAGGAGGAGGAGGGAGGAGGAGGAGGAGAGGAGGAGGAGGAGAGGAGAAGGAAGGAGGAGGAGGGAGGAGGAGGAGGAGGAGGAGGACCAGTGAAAACCCGAGAGTCATCAACGATGTTGGAATTGACCCTCCCTCGCAGCTCCCTCTTCACATGTAGGCCCCATACAACGGTTCATGTCCATTGAGGGAACTGCCTCGTTGGAAGACAACAGTTTGAAGATCTTGAAGCGTGCCAAAACATTGTTCTCCGGATTTCAACGCCACGTATCAACCAGACTGCTGCGTCTTGACGATCCAGAATCGTGCCAGAAGGCCGTTTTTGGGACGTCAACACGGCGAATCAACATAACTGTTGCGCCCGCATAATCCTGAATCCTTCCAAAACACCATTTCCGGTACGTTGATCATGGGAATCCGTGAAACCCTTGCAACGTTCACAAACGAATGTGCGCGGCGCTACGGCGAGAACCACATTTTGACAAGGAACCGCCCTCAATCCGTGAAGCTCTTGCACAGGTTAAAAACGAATGTACGCGGCGCTAAGGCGAATGCCACATTTTGAAAAGGAACCGCCCTCAATCCGTGAAGCTCTTGCCATTTGTTAAACGAATGTTCGCAGCGCTAAGGCGAGAACCACATGCAAACGAGCGAGAGACGGAGCAGCCCGCCGACGGGCCGCCAGCGGCCGCGTGCCCTCGATAGGCGCGTTCTCTCCACCTCCGACGGCGCACGCTCAGCCCTGACCTCCGGCGTGCCGGACACGGCACAACGCGGAGCCGCTGGCTTAGATCTGGCGGCGAGCGACTGGGGGGGAAGCGAGGAGGAGGCCTTCCAAGACGGCGGCGGGGCTTCCCAGAAGCCCTCTCGCGCCTCCTATCTGAGAAGCCTTCCTGTGCCTTCGGGGAGGGCTTAGACCGCTGCTCCGAAGGCCCGGGGACTTCCGAGAAGGCCCGCCCATTCTGAATTCTCCCCTGGGCTCGCCGCCGATAGACTTATGTCGGGCGTGTCCCCCTACAGAGGGATGTTCGACGACACATACTTCAAAACAAAAAAAAAATCCCAGTGCGACCCTACCTAGGAGTTGGACCCCCTAGGAAAGCAGCATTAGTAGTAACAGTAAAGCTAAGCTAAAGCTAAGCTAAAGCTAAGCTGAAGCTAAGCTGAAGCTTAGCTAAAGCTAAGCTAAAGCTAAGCTAAAGCTAAGCTAAAACTAAGCTAAAGCTAAAGCTAAAACTAAAACTCCCAGGGGACTGGGGGAACCGCTCCCAGGGGACCGGGGGAACCGCCCGGGGCGGTTTCCACTGCCCCGGCCCTTTACGCAGACCGAGCAAGAACCCTTCTGGGCAGAGCCCAGGTAGGGAAAAAAGTCCCCAGGCTACTTCTGGATCATTGTCTGACCATTTTAGGGGGTATTGTTTACTGTTCGTCGAAAATCCCCCTGCAGGGGGACAGGCCCGACTTAACGATAGACGTCGGGGCCCCTCGCGGGGCCCCGCGGGGGGCTCCGAAGGGGGCGCGGCCTGCCCCCTCGGGGCAGCGCAGGCTCTCGCCGAGGCCCCCAGGCGTACCCTGACCTTCCAGGAGGGCTAAAACATCGCACGCGGCTCAAAAATCTGTCCACAGAGCTATTCTACGTCTTGGTTTTAGGCCGTTTCGTTTTTTTAGGTTCTTAGGCCTCCAGTGCTAAAACATAGCTCTCTGGAAGGTCAGGGTACCGGGCGACTTGTCGATGCGTCTGCGGCTCGTCTCGCTCTCGGCCCCTCGCCCGGCCCCGCGAGCGAGCAGAAACGGCCGGGGACGGAGACACTGCCCTGGGCATAGAGGCCTCCCAGATGGGGCCCGAGCAGATGGGGTCGGAGGATCGCGCCGTATCGCCGATGCATCGCCGATGCATCGGCGAGATCGGCGATGCATCGGCGCCGTCGACGCTGAGATAATCGGGATCCACATCAATCCGCATGTGGGTGGACAAGAAAATACCGATAGCGCTAATCCACAAACCTCTCCCGGGGTGAGTTCCGACGGTAATGTCGAGGCGAATCCAGCCGTGGCGACGACGGAAGATACATGGGTAAAAACATACATATCTACATCCATACATACATACATACATACATGCATGCATACATACATACACACATACGAACACATATGCACACGCACATAAACACATACAGACAGACAGGCAGGCAGACAGACATGCATGCTCTACCGACCTACCTACCTACCTGCCTACATACATACAGGCATGCATACATACGTGCATGCATGCATACCTATATATATATATACATACATACGTGCATGCATGCATGCATGCATGCAGTCATGCATGCATCCATACACGCATACATACATACATACACGCATACATGCATACATGCATGCACATAGCCATACCTCCATGCACATACACACCTATATAAAGCTATGCGTACACGTATGCGTGCATGCAGACGAACACACGTACATACAATACATACATACATACATACATACATACATACATACATTCATACATACATACATACATACATACATACATGCATGCATGCACGCATACATACATACATACATACATACATACATACACACATACATACATACATGCATATATACATACAGACACACATACAACCAAACAGCCAACCACACATACATACATACATACATACATACATACATGCATGCATGCATGCATGCATGCATGCATACATGCATACATGCATATATGCATGCATGTATACATGCATACATACATACAAACATGCATACATACACATACATACGTACATACATGCATATACACATACCTACATATATTCATACACACATATATACATGCACACAAACATACAGACATCTATACATACACACATACATACATACATACATACATACATACATACATACACACATACATCCATACATACATAGACACGTGAACATACATACATACCTTCATACATTCATACATACATGCATACATGCATGCGTACATGCATGTACACATACAGACATGCATGCATACATACATGTACACGTACACGTCGTTCATGTCTAATCGTGCCCATGTCTAATTGTGCTCGTTCCTAATTGTTCCTGGCTCCCTAGTGGCCAGGAAGAGGCCCAGGATAGAACAAGTAGAAATGAAAGGATCTTGGCCCCCCAGAAAATCCAAGAACTTTCGAATCATTAGACATGAACAATGTGTACATCTAAAGCTGCACAATAATCCGTGAATCCGCCAACCCTGTCGGCGCGTGTGGGGTGTCTGTCTGGTCCCGTCGACGGGACGCCTTTTCTGTTTATCCTTCCCCGTCGGGGGTGAGAGAACACTCTCCCGTCGTCGGGGGGAGGAGTCCGGGAGTTGAAGGAAATCGGCCCACGTCGTAGTCACGTCGAAGGGAAGCCCCTTCCCTGTGTCCCTCCCCCGCAAGGGAGAGCTGTGGCACCGCAGGGGCCGAACCTTTGCAGCCGCCCAGGGCCCGGGGGAGCAGGCGTGCCCGACGGCGGAAGCGCTCATTTGATGCCGCTCTTCGTCCCCGAAGAGAGGAGGCGAGCGCGGGGGAGGGGAGGAGGAGGCTCGCTCTGGACATCCCCTGGGCTCCCCCCAGAACAGCCTGCCAGTAAGCAGGGGCTCTGCAGGATATGATGCTCACGACGGCCCGTACGGGTGAGGAAGCCCGGGCTGGCCCAGCGGGCCCAGCCCATCGTGAACTGTGCAAGGCTTCGTGGGGTCTCCTGCAGCGAGGGTGTCATTTCATCCGTCCCCCAACTCCATGTCTGCCCACTCGTCCGCGAAGAAGACGCCCGGCTCCCCCTCGTCCTCGGAGGGGCAACAAAATACTCACAAGTGGTCAACAAAAAGACTTTACAAATTGTCACCATACTATTTTTCAATATTTTTGAATATTCCTCCTGATTAGGGACAGGCCCGACTTAAGCGAAACACCGGCTGGAATCGGCGATACCTCGTCGATGGGGACCAGGTGGCCCACCCCGCCGAGGAACGTGCGGCCTTGCTGTCGGGGCATGCCGCCGATCTATCGGCGATGTATCGCCGATTGCATCTCGATGTGTCCCCCCCCCTGAGCCTGTTTGGGCGCCCGACTTATCCGGGGCAACTCGGGCCCAGGGCAACTCGGGCTCGGATCCCCGAAAAAACGAACCAGAGTTGGCCCTGACCCGAGTTACCTCTGATGATTCGGGGCTCTGACCTATCCCCCCCCCTATCGTTATGTTGCTCCAATCGCACTTCAGGACCACATCCCGAAAATAATTCCGAGCACCCGGAAAAGTGTCGAAACAGTGTCGGACGAGTGTCTCCCAGGTGCTTTTCTGGTGCTTTTTTCTGGTGTCGGCAAAGTGTCGGACGTGAAAACCCTCGAGGCTCGGTGCCTTTCTGGTGCTCGGACTTCTCTCTGGTGACCAGGGCCAAAGTGGGTTGGAACAGCATACACCCTGCGAAATGCTTAAGCAATCATGGATTAAGAAATTCGTAGTCTCAGAAACCCAACATTTCTATTAAAATCTTGGGATTTACATTGAAACATTAAGAATAATCGAGACTCTGGTCGAAATCTTAAGTTTTCTTAAGCATCGCCTAAGGTGTAACCCTATCGCTGCCCCTGGTCCTCCACCAGCGGCTGCAGGTAGATCCAGCCGTGCGGCCCGCTGGCCGGCTCGTGCACGACCTGCACCGCGAGCACCACGGCGAGGCGCCAGGGCTCGGCGCGCTCGGGCCGCCAGTACCTCAGGGGAGCGGTGGACGCGGCCAGCCGCGTGCTGCGACCATGGGAAGCGGCGAGGAGGAGAAGGAGGAGGAGGAGGAGGAGGAGGAGGAGGAAGGAGGAGGAGAAGGAGGAGGAGGAGGAGGGAGCAGGAGGGAGCAGGAGGAGGAGGAGGAGGGAGCAGGAGGGAGCAGGAGGAGGAGGAGCAGGAGGAGGAGGAGGCCCCCGCCCTCTCTCAGTGCCTCTTGCAAGTCACGTGTGTGGAGAAGCCTCGGCGGCAGCCATCCGGCAGCGCGCAGCAGCAGCGGTGGGCTTTGCCGGCCTGCACGGCCTTGGAAGTGGCCGGCCCCTGCATTCGGGGGGGGGGGTCTTCTATAGGGCTCGCCCTGCCAGGAGGAGGAAGAATAATAAGAATTGGGATAATAAAAAACAAAATACAAGGAGGAGGAGGAGGAGGAGGAGGAGGAGGAGGAGGAACAATAAACACAATGTTAAAACGAAAAAGAAGAAGAAGGGTCATACTACTATTCGTAGTAAGAAAACAATAATAATGACACTGATGATCAGGCGAATACGAATAATCATATCAATGCTGATACTAGCAATACTAATACCAAAGTAGAATCAATCATGATAATAATCATACTCACCATCATAATCATAATCAGAATAACAACAATGATAACACTACTAGCAATACTACTGAGCATAATAGGAAGACTCGTTCCTGCGCGTGGCCCCTGCTGCCAGGGCCCCTGCGCTCACACACGCACTGCGCGCGAGGCGGACGAGGACGGCGAGGCGGAGGCCCGCGTCTCCCCGTCTCGTCGCGGGTCGTGTCGTCCGCCCCCCCCCCCCCCCTGTCCATCCCCCAGATTTATGTTGCCCCCATCGTATTCAAGGACCGCATCCCACAACTAAATTCGAGCACCCAGAAAAAAATGCCGAAATAGTGCCAAAACAGTGTCGGACGAGTGTCTCCCAGGGCCCGACAAGTGGAAACCCTCGAGGTTCGGTACTTTCTGGTGCTCGAAAGTCTTTCTGGTGGTCAAGGCTAAAGTAGGTTGGGACATCATAACCCTAGATTCGGCGACCAGCCCGGGGGGAAAAAGAGGGGGCGGGCCTCTCGGAAGGCTCAAAAGCGGTCCCTGGACTTCTGTTGATCCCATCGTACGTGAGGACCACATCCCAGAAATTACTTCGAGCACCCAGAAAAGCGTCGAAACGCTGGACCCCTCCCAAGGTCAGCATGCTCAGGTTTTCCGCGCCGCGTCCATCCGCGGCGACGAGGGGCACACCCGCAGGCAGACTGCAGTCGACTCGATTCGCCTTCACCTCGGGAAGGCGTCCCAAAACGAACCATCAAACCCCCGCGAGCACGCCGTGCTCGGGCGACGGCCGCGGGAAAAATGGCTCGCGGTGGGCCGCCCGAACGACCTCACTGCGCTGTCCGTCACCGCACGGTTTTGCGACCCTAAGAGGCCCCAGCCGTCGGAGACATCCCTGGAGAACGACCCGAGTCCCAAGCCCCGTGCGGCGACCCCGAATCCACATTGACTCACCACGCGGTGCGGCCACCACACCGTTTGGGGCCCCGAGATGCGATTGGCTCAGGATGCGGTCCATCCACAGCATCCTCCAGCGGCCTTTGTTTCTGAAGCCCGTGCGGAACAAGCGGAAACCCTGGAAGTCCTGGAAACCTTGGAACGTATCACAATCATGCCTTCTGGCCCCCCCTGAGAGGCAGGGAAAGATCGAGGCGGGCCCGGGTAAGAGAGGCGGCGAAATCAAACGAAAAACATAACAACTGTTAGGTTGGGCCTGTCTCCCTACAGGGGGATTTTCGACGAAACATAAAAGATACCCCCAAAAAATCAAAACATAGTCCAAAAACACTCTGGGACCATTTTTGGAGTATTTTTTAAACCTTTTTGGGATATTTCAGGGGTATTTTTTGTTTTTCGTCGAAAATCCACCTGTGGGGGGACACGCTCGACATAAAACACCTGGCGTGACACAGAAACCTCGGGAGGGCCGCGCGGACCTCTTACTCCAAATCCCTTATTAATCGACCCCCCCCTAAAAAACCAGACCCCCCTCCAAATGCGACCTAATATTCCGGACCCCCTCTTCGATGGGGCGCCTTAGTAAACCAGACCCCCTCAGCTCCAGTCCAAAGAAAGCGACCTAATAAACCGGACCCCCTTAATGACCAAAAAGGCGCCTCAAAAAACCGGACCCGCGGGACGATTGATAAGGGATTTGGAGTAGCAAAGGGGGGGCCCGGCGGCGGGGCCGAACCCAGCTGCGTGCGGCGAATTTCGTACCCCCCCGCGTTCCCTGTCCCCCATCCTCCCCTTTCGTTCGGCCCGCGAGCCGCGCGCCCCGGCCCACGGTGGCGCCCCTGGCGAAGGTCCCCCTACGGGCGGATGCTGGACGAAAAAAAATGTTTAAAAACACACATATATATATTGTAAAAACAAACACCCCGCTGGAGTTCGGAGTAGACCGTCGCTGGATCCCCGAGCGCGCCAGGGGCGGGCACCGGAGGCACCGCCAGGGGGAGTCCCAGGCCCAGCACAGACCCAAGAGAAGCCCGCGCGGAGCTCGGAGGAAGAGCAGCGGCTGCTTAGGGCCGAATCCAGACAAGAAACGGAGAGGGCGGAGGAGGAGGAGGAGAGGAGGAGGAGGAGGAGGAGGAGGAGGAGCAGGAGGGGAAGGACGATAAGGAGGGGGGGAGGAGGAGGACGAGGAGGAGGAGCAGGAGGAGGAGGAGGAGATGGAGATTGAGGAGGAGGAGGAGGAGGAGGAGGAGGAGGAGGAGGAGGAGGAGGAGGAGGAGGAGCAGATGGAGATTGACGAGGAGGAGGAGGAGGAGGAGGAGGAGGAGGAGGAGGAGGAGGAGATCGAGGCGGCCCCGAGCACAGAGGCGGTGAGGCTTGGCGCGGGCGACCTCGCCGAGCCAGCGCACGGACCCGCGGCGCTGCGGCGCGTGGGGCGCCGGAGCGCCGCGGGCAGCGGGGAGGCGCCCCGGAAAAACAGCCCTGACCTTCCAGGAGGGCTTATAAAATAGCACGCGACTGAAAAGCCTAGCCCAGAGCTATTCTATATGTCTTGGCTTCAGGCTGTGTCGTCTCCTTTCTTAGGGTTTTAGGCCTCCGGTGCTAAAAAACAGCTCTCTCTATTGGTTTTAGGCTGTTTCGTATCATGTTTTTATTATTATTATTATTATTATTATTATTTTTTTTTTTTTTTTTTTTTTTTTTTTTTTTTTTAAAAAAAGGCCCCCCGTGCTAAAAAATAGCTCTCTGGAAGGTCCGGGAAGAGGCTGGCGCGCCGCCCGGTCCGGCGACGGAGCGCGCCGCGACCCTGCGCGGGCGCGGCAGGCCCGTCACGGAGCCTCGGGCTGGGCGAAAGGGGGGGGGTACTCCAAATCCCTTATTAATCGACCCCCCCCTAAAAAACCAGACCCCCCTCCAAATGCGACCTGATATTCCGGACCCCCTCTTCGATGGGGCGCCTTAATAAACCAGACCCCCTCAGCTCCAATCCAAAGAAAGCGACCTAATAAACCGGACCCCCTTAATGACCAAAAAGGCGCCTTAAAAAACCGGACCCGGGGGACGATTAATAAGGGATTTGGAGTAGCAAAGGGGGGGCCCGGCGGCGGGGCCGAACCCAGCTGCGTGCGGCGAATTTCGTACCCCCCCGCGTTCCCTGTCCCCCATCCTCCCCTTTCGTTCGGCCCGCGAGCCGCGCGCCCCGGCCCACGGTGGCGCCCCTGGCGAAGGTCCCCCTACGGGCGGATGCTGGACGAAAAAAAGTTTTTAAAAACACACATATATATATATATATTGTAAAAACAAACACCCCAAACTGCTGAAAAAATAGTCCCCAGGCGATCTCGGTTACTACTTTTGAATGTTCGTCCTGTAGAGGGACAGGCCCGACGCAACGCCGGGGGGGCGGGCCGGGTCAGGGGGGGAGACATCGAGCTCAAGTCGGCGATGCATCGTCGATGGATCTCGTGCGAGGCGGAGATTCATCCATATCCACCGCCTGGGAACCGACGTCCTGGTGCCCCAGCGGGCGGTGGATATGGATATACTTCGGCCCCCGGGGGGCCCGAATATGTCCCGATCCACCGCCTGCCGAGGCTCCGAAAACTGACCCTCCAGGCGGTGGATATGGATAAATTCCCGCCTCGGAGATCGGCGGTAGGCCCTCGATGGCGGAATCCGCACGTTCCTGTGCGGGGTGGGCGACTCGGGCCCCTCTCGGCGATCGGTGGGCGACTCGAAGCCGCTGCGCCCCCCCCCGAGCCTATCCCCCCCCCCGACGTTGCCCCGTGGCTCTTGGGCCATAACTCGGCAATGCCAGCGGCCGCGCGGGATGCTGTGCCCGCGGCGAGGCGCGGGATTCCTGGCACTGGCACGCACCCCGAGGCTGGGAGACCGCCGGGTGCCGACGGGAACCGCCCGATCGCCTCCAGGCTCGAGCCCCTGCACCCCCCGACATCGTCCCTGGCACCCCCCTAAAACAAGGCTAGGATCGGGATAAATCGCTCTAGAGCGTTCCGGAGCGCTCTCAGAGCGTTCCGGAACGCTCTGGAGCGGCCGCGGCGCCCAATACATCCTCCAAACCCGCCGATTCTCAGAGATTTCGAGTTATCCTGATCCGATTTTGTCCCGATCTTCGCGTCGTTTTACCCCCCCCCGAGCCGATCCCCCCCCAGACAAAAAACACCGTTGCGCCCGTCGATGGGCGGCGAGCGGCGGCCCCATATCGCGCCCTCTGAGGCCGGCGCAGCACGTCCCCCTCGCCCGCGAGCTGCCCGAAGCTCTCGACCTCCTGCTCCCAGCGCTCCCACTGCCGCTCCAGCCTCCTCTCCGAGGGGCTTCGGGGACGCCCCGCGGCGGCCGCGGGTCTCGGCCACGGGAGGATTGTGACGCGTGAGGGTGGTGTGAAGGCAGGTCCTGCCCTGCCAGCGCCTGTTAGCGCCTATTAGCGCCTAGTGGTGCCTATTGGTGCCCATCAGTGCCCAGTAGCGCCTACTAGCGGCCACCACTACCCAGTGATAAACATCAATAGCCAGGAAAGGCAGCAACTCATGCCTAAAATGACTCTCACGCATAACACACCCAAGGAGGAGGGCAATCGAGGCCTCCCAAACGGGGTCCGAGCCAGTGGGTTCGAAGAGTCGCCGCGCGTCGCCGATGCTGCGTCGACATCGGCGATGCTTTGGTGACGTCGACTTGCAGAGTATCGGGCTTCACATCGAGCCGAATCGGAAAAGCATCGGCGAAACATCGGGGACGCGGCGCGATCCTTCGACCCCATTTACTCGGAGCCAACTTGAGATGCCTAGGGGCAAGGAACCAGCTCATGGGAGGTCTTCGTGGGAACGATTGGGAACTGTTGAGCCCGCACTAGGCCGGCCGGGCTAGGCCAAATCAGGCACAGGACAAAGGTCCGATTGAACCAGATAAGGCCGGATTGACATGAATTACTTAGTACGTGCAAAGCCGCATGAGGCTAGTTTTCGACCACGGATGTACCAGCATCGACACTAAATATAACCAACCAAGACTTGAATGGTATAAAGAATATGCTGATGATGAGGAGGATACAAACTCTGAAGAAGAGCCGGAAAAAAAGGATTTATGTACTTGTGCCAACAATCTGCATACATATACGGCCACGCTTAGGGAAATAATGAGGTTCGGGGGGGGAACCTAACCTCTCAACCAATCGATGCCACTAACGATCTCAATAACGATCTCACCATAGATCTCACTACCCATCTCACGATCGAACTCACTGTCGACCGTACGGTACTGCCGATCTCACTGCCGATCTCACTATCGATCTCACTATCGATCCCATTGTCGATCCCTCTATCGATCTCACCATCGGTCTCACGATCGATCCCGCTAGCGATCTCACCATCGATCTCCCTACGGGACACCGACGGGACATCGACGGGACACCAACGGGACACCATCGGGGCACCGACGGGACGCCGACGGGACACCGACGGGACACCGCGGGCCACAACGAGACACCGCGGGACACCCTCGGGATGCCACGGCGGGACACCCCGGGCCGCCGCCGCCCCATCCTGGGGGCCCGGGGGGGCGGTCTGCTGGCCGGGGGGCGCCCTGGCCAGAGGGCTCCTTCCTCTCGCCAGCCCGCGCAACTTCGCCCCGCCCGCACGCACGACACGAACAGAAATCCGAAGCCGGCCTCCTCCCTGACCTTCCAGAGAGCTATTTTTTTGGAACGGGAGGCCTAAAAACCTGAAAAAGGAAACGAAACAGCCTAAAACTAAGACACAGAATAGCTCTGGGATAGGTTTTTAAGTCGCGTGCTATTTTTAGCCCTCCTGGAAGGTCAGGGCTGGTGGGGGGCTTTCGGTTTCACTGCGATCTCGCCTCCCTCACCTCCGGCTCCCCAGGCATCCGGCCGCTCCAGTTTTTCCGATGCGTGGGCCCTGGAGCTCCGGGCCACTTCCTCGGGGCCGTTTTGCCGTCCTGAACTGTTGTCTGACACTCCCGAGGCCCAGCGAGGGCCCCTGGAGGCCGAAAACGTCCCAAAACCCGCCGCTCCATTTTTGGGGGATCGTCGGATCTCTGGATCATGGAACTGTCTTCCGAGAAGCCCCGCCGCTGATGGGCCTGTTTTCCACCACCACCACCATAAGTTAGAGGGGGGGAAGGAGGTGGAGGACGAGAAGGAGTCCGAGGACGAGGAGGAGGAGGAGGAGGAAAAGGAGGAGGAGGAGGACCCCTCTCCATCCAACTGGTGGTGGTGGTGGTGGAACACAGGCCCGCGAGGACGCGGCGCCTCGGGCGCCGCCCCCGGGCGCCGCCCCTGGAGCGGTTCGAGCGCCAGGGAGGGGGCGCCAGGGACGGGGACCAGCGCCGACCCAAGCAGTGCGCGCGGGCCTTCGCCGCAAGTGGGCGCGTTTTGCGCACGTCTTTTCTTCGAACTGCGGCACGACGAGGAAGCGGAGGAGGCGAGAGAGGCGGAGAAGGGAAGCCGAAGAATCCACTCGTTGAGGGGCTGAATTGAGATCGTCGCAGGCGCGCGGACGAAACGACGTCCCGAGCGAGTCTCTGGCGAAGTCCTTGAGCCTTGAGGGCGAAGCTGGCGCAGACCGCGGCGCCTCGTACTTTCGCGCGGGCATCGAGGCAGCTTGGGTAGGAGGCGGAGGAAGATGTTCTTCAAAATGCATCACCCGCTCGCGTCTGCAGCTGCATGCCAGACGTGGGGGTGGGAGAACAGGTCACCGGCAAACAGAAGGCGTTGCACGTCGCCGTCCGCTGCCTGCGCAGCCAAAGCCACGTCCTGGCACACAGTGTGGACGCGCCTGACAACGCGGCCACACCCAGAGTTCTTGGACTCTTTTGAGCCCACGATGCACCATGCAGACGTGGCACTTGGCAGATCCAGGCCAGCATGCCGCGCTCGACCGCAGGACGAAGCAGCAGAAGTAGAGAGAGGAGGAGGAGGAGGAGGAGGAGGAGGAGGAGCAAGAGGAGGAGGAGGAGAAGGAGGAGGAGAAGGAGGGGGAGAAGGAGGAGGAGGTGGAAGAAGAGGAGCAGGAGGAGGGAGGAGGAGGAGGAAGAGGAGGAGGAGGAGGAGCAAGAGGAGGAGGAGGAGAAGGAGGAGGAAGAGAAGGAGGAGACGGGGGAGGAGGGAGGCGGGGGAGGAGGGAGAGGAGGAGGGTGGACGGGGAGCAAGGGGAGGACGGCAAGAAGGGGGGAGGAGGAACATGGGGCGGGAAGGGTGCATTTGTCAAGAGAACACTAGGTTCCTGCCGGTCAAAAGATACCAGAAAAAACCAGCCACGACGTCTTGAATACGTACGCGCGCGACCAGGCACCGACGATGACGCAGAAGCCATTGCCGACGCCAAGAACCGCTGACGGCTGCCAGGACGACGACGACAGAGCCAGGCACCGACGACGACGCCAAGGCTTCAGCCGACACCAAAACGCCGACAGAGGGAGGAAGAGCAGGGCGACTGGGAGAAGGAGTCAGACAACCGTCGAAGAAGCCCGAGGTTCTCGACCTCCGACTATTGCAACCGCACCGTGCCAAGGAGGAGGCGGAGGAGGAACACGAGGAGGAGGAGGAGGAGGCGGAAGGGGCAGCGGGAGGAGGAGGAGGAGGAATGGAATGGAATGCCCTCGAAAGGGGGAGTGCACGGCACTAAGCTCTGAACAAATCAGGGAGACTAGCCAGAGTGTCTGGCTTCCTTCGTACGAATTCGGTCCAGGAGGGCCGCCACCCTTTGCTCGTAAGTGGGTACTTCCCTGGAGGCCGAGAACGCTGCTGGCACCACAGAAAAGTCAGGCACGCACTCCGAGGGGGCCGACACGACCGAGGAGGCGAGCGACGGGAGTCCAACGCTACGTCCCAAGAGCACCCGTACTCGACGGTTCGGCGGCTTACCCTGGTAGTAACGTCTTAAAACCTCCTGACCTTTCTTCGTGGGCTTCTCGTCAGGCCTGATACAGGGTTTTGCAAACTTAACGGCACGGCCCTGGGACCAGGCACCACATCGTAAACAAATCCAGCATCGCTTCTCAGGGGCGTTCACACTCACGATCGCCGCGGGGGTCAGTTGATCGAACCGCAGCCCAGCCGTCGCGACGATGTGCCCCAAGGGGTCCCTGAGAAGCCTTCTGATGCCAACTGGGATGCCGATGCATCCGTTCAACTCTAACAGAGACTGGTCATCTCCTCCCAACTGCAAACATCTCCTGCATTGGTATCCGAGGGTATGATGGTTGTGCCAATCGTGAAACTGCTGACGCACCGAGGATGTGTTCCTGCGGCTTGTGGTGACACGAGTCCACCTCGGCGCTGCTTCGAAGAATGGCAGCACATGAGAGGCGAGCTTGACAAAGTGATTGGCTCGCTCCTCTGCAAGCGACAGAGACTGCAGGAACTGAGGATCAGCAGAGGGATGACTAGAAAGCGCCATCTTCGCATGGAAATCTACCACGTCATTAGCAACTGCAAATTCGCGCTCCGTCGTCTCCAGGGATTCTACCTCCTGACTGGAGCGGTGTACTTTGACGTGGCAGATGCTCTCTATGAAACTTGTGCCTTCCAACGACTGAGCAAAAAGTCTGATGCCTGCAAACTTCGACGATGCTTTCAGCTGCTGCTCGACGCTGCTCTGAGCAATCTGAATGGCTGACGTGCAGTCAGCAGCAAGAACCGTTCTTCTGTTCGCAATCTGTCCGCTCAGCGCAATGCCAACGTGCTCCGCCACTGCTGGCGTCTGAGGAAAAGTACCGTGGACCACGCCGCGCATCACCGCCACAGGCTCAGGCTGTTCCCCGCTTGCGGGGAGCACTGCAATGGCCCGCGACGCTCGCTGGAGCGCACGTAAAGGGGGCCTAGAGCATGAGCCGTCAGAGGCAAGTCTTAAAGTTTCTTCCCCCGGCAACTCAGAAATTCTTTCGGGCCCCAGGTCCAGCGGGCTGTCATAAACATCAAAAATCTCAGCCTCCGACGAAACAGAAGGTTCTGGCAGCTCGCTGTCCGTGTACACAACAAATGCCCCTGGTAAAAATCTCAAGGTCAGGCTCAGCGCGAGCCGCTTCCATGAACTCCCTAGGGACTTCAGCCTCAGCTCTAGCTCGGGCAACGTCCTCCCGGGTGCACTCATATAACCTGTGGTGGAGTGTGTCGACCTGCCCGCGCGAACAACGACCGTCAGTCACGTAACCAGCACGACGACCTCTCTCGTTGGTCCACACTCCATTACATGCACAGCTTCGAATCAAAAACTTGGCTTTCTTGCTTAATCCCCGAGCCTTTGGCCCCACGCGAGATCTAATCAGATCAAGGGTGGCCCTTTGCCCTGGGGGGGGTGACCTAAACTACTGGCTAAGTTCATCTCTTGCTCGCGCTGAATTCCTATCTCGAGCTGCTCGGCTAGGAGGGCAGGCGGGGTTTGATCCGCCAGGACCTGCAGCCCGTTGTGGTCGCACCACTCCAGTGGACCCCTGGCCTCCCAGCCCGCCCTCGAGAGCACTAGTCACCACGACTGGCTAGTGCTCTCAGGGGCTGCGTTGTCGCAAACCAGATCATTCTGCACCATTGAAGTGCTGGGGCAACAGCGATTTTGAAACTGCGATCCCCCAACAAAACTAACTTGGCCGACAGAGGCACCCCTCCGTGGGCAGGCGAAAAAGCGCATCCCTGCAGTCTTTGGTGTGACTTCCATTCACTGAGGCTTAAACCAGTGACCTCAGCTCCGAAACTGCTGGCTGGTGAAACCCCAGCTCCACAAACCTTGGCAAACGGGGCTTCCTTGTCACCACCACGAACAACTCGTCTGAAACGCTTGACTTTTCTAAGCCTAAGACGTGCAGCTGCAAACCTACTCTTCTGTTTTGGCCTGGCTCCACGGGCGGATCTCTTGATGCCTGCCGTCTCATCCACCCCCAAGTATGTGACGCTGTCCTTGAGCACGTCCAGGTTGACCCCAACCTCCTGGCAGATGGCCTTGCCGAGCTCCTTCGACGAGGCAATCAAGGCTACCTTGTCTACGTTCAGCGTTGCGTTGATGGAGCTCGACGTAGTTCGGAACTCCGTGAACGACTTCACTGCAACACCTTTCGCAATGTCAAACGAGAACGATGAATTGCCAATCGCAGTGTCGTCTACGTAGCTCATCATGGTGACTGTGGGACATCTATTGAGGAAAGCATCCATTTCAGCCACTGAATGAATCTTAATCGCAAAATCTGCAAACCCATCACCAGCTGGAAAGCCATGTTCAGCGCACAGTGGAACCAGCGAGTGATGTCGGCCGCAGCGAATAATTCGTGGTGCTCTCCATGTGTTGTACACAAGCTTCAGCCAACATGTAGGGATGCCCACTCGAATACATTTGTCTCGCAAAGACGGCAAGGGAATCGATTCATAATACTTGGACCAATCTATCACCCATAGCGCTGAGTGAAGGGAGTCAGCCTGGTTCGCTTCAGCTCGTGCTGCTTGAAGCCACGCACAGTCAATCGCTGACCTGCCCCTGGAAGCGCCCCAGAACTTACGCTCCAAACTGTCTATCACTCCTGCTACCGCGCTGCGCCTAGCTCGCTGCCATATCCTGTACATTCCCGCGTACAAGATGATCAGTCGGTTGCCTCCAGTGGGCTTGCCTAGCATCGGCATCTGAATCCAGCAGAGTTGCTCGGGTAGCATTCCAATGGCCTCCGAAATCGCCCAGATGCCACTGCGAACCTTCAAACCAGAGTCTCCCAAGAGCAGAGCGTGACGCGGGTGAAAGTGATCAAATGACGAGGCCGCTCCTTTGGGGAAAGTCCTCACAAACTTTCGGATCTGATCTGGCGTGAGCCTCGTGCATGTTGTACGATCTGGAACCCATGCAAATGGTGCCGTGTCAGTTGCCTTCCAGAGTCTGCGGTATGTTTCAACTTCACCTTGTGCAATGTCTCGTGGATCCCCCGAGACTACATAACCCTGCGACACGGCGGGGACAGGTATCTTGCGCACCTTCGTTACCCGATGAAGAGCCCTGGCACCCTTCACAGAAGCTTCGATACACCGGCAATCCCAGGCCTTTGTCACATCTCGCATCATGGCTTTACTGGCAAACTCCACGTCGTCTGCAATCTCTTCTACGAACTGGAGCACGTCGTCTACCTCCATCGGGATCCGCGCAACCATCGCTCGAGCCTGCGAAACAGACGCGTCCAGTCGTCCACTTAGCCCTTGTCCACTGTACGGATTGGCAAGAAAGTGGTCTATCTCTTCAGAACATTGCTCCAGGTACTGCGTGCCTTTGAAGAGCTGAGTGATCGTAGTTAGACTCGTAGATAGCCGCTGCCATCCGTCAGCAACTGCTTGAGCCATCAAGTCAGGCTTCTCCTGATAACTGACATCAACCCACCTCGGCTGTAAGTTTCGCCCAAAACTGCCTGCCTGCACTAGATCATATCCTGTCGCGTGGGCCACCTCGATCGCAGCAGTGACCGCGAAATGCCCCCACAATCTAGATAGAAGCACCCACGCCACTGCAACATCGCTGTTCACGTCCTGAGCCATGTCCAAGCGCGTGTTTGCCAGAATCTGGCGTGCGTTCCAATTCGGCCCCTCTCGAAGCGGCCTTGTGATTCGCTCAACTGGGAGCGCAGGCGTAACCGTGTATATGAAATGTCGAATCGTTTGCCCGTGGTCTAAAAGTTTGAGCAACGCTGGTCGATGTGGGCGCTTGCACCAACGCATGTCGGCTTCCGCGCCCTGAAAACCTCGCGTAGCGGCATCATTCAGCGCAAAGTAGTCGATGGTCGACACTCCTGTGCCTCCTCGACATGTTGCCTGCTCCGGTACTGCCATTGTGACAATGGCCAACCTCGGGAATCCTGAGCTCTCAAGTTGCGTCACAGACATATCCCAGTCCGCCCCAGCAACCATCGGCGTCTGTATCTGAGCAAATAGGATACCCATGCGAGAGAGAATGTCGTTGTTGACCCCCGTCACGCCGATGCCGTCCTTGAGGTGCGCATTTAGCACGTGCAGCGGTGGCCGGCCTGGCATATCGATAAGCACATGCTGGCATCGATGAGGGAAAACCAAGTGATCATGCTGAACATGTGCCCTGAGCCCAAGATCGCTGCGAACCAAAACGGCAACACCCGCGGAACAGGCCTTGCGAACTGTGCTTGCTCGACTAAGACGACTGGGAACTGCCATCATCTTCCATCCTCGAGCGTGCGCCCATGAGAACAAAGATTCCAAATCGCCTTCACAAAATCCCATTTGCTGCAGCAGCAGGACGTGGGCAGATGACTTCTGAATATTCTCTTTCACCGTCTGCTTGCCACCATTGTCGTTGAAGCACTCGACGACGTAGTTACCAAGAGCCTGAGCAGGAGGTGGCAGCTTCGTCATTCCCTGGGCGATCGGTAGTCCAGAGACCAGAATAGGTGCATACCCTTGCTGCCCTAGCTCCAACGTCCATCGCGTAGGTGCATCAGGAACAACGTTGTTTCTTAGCCAGCTCTTTGTATATTCCTTGAAAACTGGAGAAATCATTGGCCTTGCCATGCTCGAAGAGATCCTTGAGCTCTGTCTCAGGTAGCTCGTCGCAGGTCCTCTTGGAGGTGGAGTCGGGTACGCGGTCACCATGAGATTCAGGAGGCGCTTCATCAGTATCAGCGGGATTAGCAGCAGCGCCCTTCTGTGAAGCGAAAAAGCCTACCTTGATCTTCTGCCTGATGACCTCCTTGAGCGTTGACCACATCTCGGAGTCGAGGAAGGTCTTGAGCTCTTCTGCCTGAACATCGTCTGCGGAGACGGAGATGTCGAACTCAGTCTCCATGGCTGCCCCAGCCCCTTTGTCAGCTGCAATCGCGGCTGCCGACTGCTTGTGCTCGGCCTCAAGCGCTGTGACCTCCGCCTGCTTCGCAGCCACGTGTGTCCTGCGCGCCTCGACCGACTCTTGTAGCTCCTTGAGTTGCTTCTCCTTATCAGCAAGCTCTGTTTGAAGGCGGTCCCTTTGAATCTTGGCCTTGTGCAAGTCCTGAGCGACCCTTCGGTAGGCGATCTCAGGCGTGCGCAGAGCCTTCTGCCGCTCCTTGATCTCGCGCACCTTCTCCATGGTGACCTGCCTGACTGGATCGTCTGCATCATTGCCAGGAAGGTTCTTGAGCATGCTTTCATACGTGGCAAGCTGTGCCGCCAGCTTCTCACGCTTGGTTTTGTCATCATCATCATCATCCGAGATCGGTTCCTTGTTGACTGCCGCTGGCGGCGGTGCAGCAGTCCACGGCGGCGGCTTGGCTGGATTCGGGCTGCTTCCCCCAATGGTGAGGGACCGCAGCAACTTCTCCAACTCCGCCAACTTCTTGGATGTCGTATCATTCTTGTCATACGTATCTTTCTTGTTGCCCTTCTGCGGGGAGCTCTCGCCGTTGACAATCGCACTGTGATGGTCCCAGGCCAGCTTCTTGATCCGCATCGGAGCTTCATTCCCACACTGACAGCGGATCCTCGATGCCCAGTTCGCCGAGGCTGCGCATCGTCCACAACCCCATGTTGGCCGCCTCGGCCCGCGGAGCACCGCAGGATGAGGTGGGGAAGGCGCCATGGCGGCGGCGCCTTGGTCGTTGGTTACTCGTCTGCCTCCGGATGGTGGCGAAATCGTATACAAGCCAAAAGGCTCGCTGCAGCGTCGCCGTTCTGAATCCAGCTGCAGCAAGCGCAAACCTGCGCCAGAACGGCTGAGGAGGAGGAGGAGGAGGAGGAGGAGGAGGAGGAGGAGGAGGAGGAGGCGCTGCGAGGAGGAGCGCGAGGAGGAAGAGGCGCCGCGAGGCGGAACGCGAGGAGGAACGCGAGGAGGAACGGAGGAGGAGGAGGCGGAAGGGGCAGCGAGGAGGGAGGAGGGAGGAGGAGGAGGAGGAGGAGGAGGAGAGGAGGAGGAGGAGGAGGAGGAGGAGGCGCTGCGAGGAGGAACGCGAGGAGGCAGAGGCGCCGCGAGGAGGAACGCCAGGAGGAACGCGAGGATGAGGAGGAGGAGGAGGAGGAGGAGGAGAGGAGGAGGGAGGAGGAGGAGAGGAGGAGGAGGAGGGGAGGAGGAGGAGGAGGAGGAGGAGGAGGAGGAGGAGGAGGAGGAGGAGGAGGGAGGGAGGAGGAGGAGGAGGGGGGGGAGGAGAGGAGGGGGAGGAGGAGGAGGCGGAGGGGCAGCGGCAGGAGGCGGCGGAGGCGCAGCGGCAGGGCGCGGGCGCCCCCTGCGGCTCCTGGCGGCCGCGGCGGCCGCGGCCGCCGCGCCCGCGCGCTCCGCGGGGGAGGCGCCGCCGCGGCGCAGCAGCGCGTACGCCCGCCGCAGCCTCTGGAAGGCCTCGCGCCCGGCGCGGCCGGGGCGCGGGGCACCAAGGGGCAGAGGCCGATACTGCGGGATGACGATTAGCCAAAAAAATGGGAGAGAACGATCAAACAAATGGTTCTCTGCGATTTCTGCACAATTTTCTGGCTGGAGGAGAAAGATTAGAAAATAGTTTTCCAGCCCGCGGCCGGTTGTTTCTACTCGTCATCCCGGGCGCCGCCGCGTGAACACGACCCCCGGTCATTTATTAATCGTCATCCTCCGTTGCCCGGGAGCGGCCAAGAGAGGGGCGTCCAAGAGGGGGGGGGGAGGGGGGGGGCAAATCGTGGCCAGCGGCATGCGCGCGGCGGCCCAGGGAGGGGGGGGCAGGGACGCAATAAAATAAGAGGAGGCGCCATGAGATCTGGGGGGAAATATCATGGCCCACGCCATGATGCAGTCGGCCTTGCTTGGACAGACCACGCGAGAGGACACAAGACCCTTCCGAGGGCCACATCGCCATGGGAGCGTAAGAAGGCACGCGTCGCGGGGCACAGGACACCAGGGTGCCCTTGAGCTGGCGGGGTCGACCTGCTAATCCGGGCCGACTGTGCAGCCGGCCCGCATCGTAAGGATGCGCGGTGCGGGTGCAGGGGCCTCGGAGGCCCACGTTGGCGCGCTTCGAACGAGGCTGGCTGGCGAGGGTCGCGAAGGATGGGCCGAAGGGGCAAGGATGCAGAGGTGCCCTCGGGAAGGTTGCCCATCCTTGCTGTGCGGATGAACTGCAACATAACCGTGTACCACGGAGAATAATCCCGCACGGATAAGAAAGTACGGGGTCGCGGGGGGATTATAAATGTCGCCTACCGGAGGCCAGCGTGTGGGAGGAGAAAGAGATGATGTCAAGAGGACCGAAAGCCGAGGATCGAGGATCGAGAATCGAAGTCCGAGGATCGAGGATCGAGATCCCAGAGTCGAGGATCGAGGTCCGAGGATCGACGGCGGCGAGGTCCGAGGATCGAGGGTCGTTTTGTTTCCCGTGAGACATCCTTGCTCGTGTAGGGTAGCTCATGTGCCTCGGTTTCCGTGGATAGTAAACCACAGCGATAAAAAAAAGTTCAGGGTGCCAGGTCGAGAAGGAGGAAGACAGAGAGAGAGAGACAGAGACAGCTAGATCAGATAGTTAGAAAGAGAGAGAGAGAGAGAGAGAGAGCAGTAGAGAAAGATAAACAGACAGAAGGAGATTGGTGGAGGTAGAGAAGGAGAGAGGTGGAGGAGGAGGAGGAGAAACGCCAAAGTTCCAAACCTAATAAATTTAATTTGTAAACGATCAATGAAATTTCAGATTTTCATCTGCTCGTGTAGGGTAGCTCACGTGCCTCGGTGTTCGTGTGTAGTAAACCACAGCGATAAAAAAGTTCAGGGGGGCAGGGGGCCAGGAAACGAACAGAGAAAGAGAAGAGCAGACAGAAGAGAGAGATAGAGATAAAGAGAACGCTGTTGGTTTCGCTTGAGACATCCTCGACGTCGTCTTCGCTTCGTTTGATGTTGCTATCTCAACATAAGAAGGAAATTAACTTCGATGGTGAACTTTTCATAGTGATAAAAAAGTTCGCCCTACGCGCCCCGCGCCCCTGACCAAACTCTTCTTGGCCGTGGATAGTCAACTCTAGCGTGGAAAAGGGGGGGTCCTTTATTATAATCGGCATGCGGTTACATCCAGAACAGACATCCGTGAAGTCAGGAACAACCATCCAAAACACCGACTGACCTGAACAAGCACCGAACACGGACATCGCTCACACACGTTTACGGCAGGCACCGCGAACGGGACACCAGGAGCAGACATTAATCACCAGAGTCACCCAACTCTTCTCGCACCGCGCCCCGCGATGCGCGGCGCGCCCGTGGGACCCGACTTCGTAATCATTCGCAGACCCCCCTGGTGGGGAGCGCCCAAAACTGAATGGTTGTTCTGCAACCCGCGGACGTGCAAAGGCCCCCAGAGGTCGAAAATTGCACGGTAGCTTCCGTCGCGGCTGTGGATAATTTAAAAGGTGCAGATGCCGCTACTCCCCAGACTTCTCCCAGAGTGCGTCCTGACGAGGATTCCCTGGTGAGTCCAGCAGTGGCGACGAGGGCCTCCCAGGAGGCAACAAAAAAGGCGAGAACAACACGAGGGTAGCGGTCTCTGTACATCTTCCATCTGAGTTTTGCTCACAGGGTGGGCGAGTCTGGTGAGGCGTTGGTGGCGTGCACAAGGGGTTGGCGCCAGGAGGGGGGGCTTCTAAGCAAGCATGGGGCTTCGCAGAAGCGCCTGGAGACTTCTAAGAAGGCTTCTGCAAAAGCTTCCTGGCGCCTCAGGGAAGGCCCCTGCCTCCTCAGAGGACCCGCGCCTCTCTTTAGAAGATCCCCCCCTAGCGCCACCCTCTCCCCTGAGATCCGACGTCGCGACAAAATACGACATCGCACCAAAAAAAAACGACTGGAGCCTCGGCGCCCATCTTGCGGCGCCCGGTTTGTCGAGCCGAATCGACCCGCGAGGGCCCCAGGGCCCAACACCGGGCACGAACACGCCGGGCTCGAAACGACTGAGACGCCAGGATCTCAAGGCTGTGTTGCGCGCCGCCGAGACGGAGTGGGGAAGCACCAGCAACATCAATCACACGCCCCCGTTGGGAACTAGCAGCGCGTTACTGCTGACGATACACCAGGCCTCTGGCCACAAGCGAAAGCATAAATAGGGAACTGAACTTTCTACACCGATGCTTTTTTCCGGTCCCGCACTGAGATTCGCACAGGGAAACGGATTCTAATGTGTATACGGGATCCTGGCGTATACATGTTTCGCTGCTTCCCTGGGAAAGCGGGGGAAAAAGTATGCACCACACCACCCCGACGCCGTCCCCGACCCTCTAAAACGTCCTGGGATTGAAAAACAGCCCGCCACTGGTAATGCATATGTTCCAGCTTCCGACACAACGCGCCGACGGGCTCCCCCACAGGCGGCGTGCCATATTGCCACCCAGACCCCCGACGCCGTGATGTGCTTCACGACGCGGACCCTCAGAAGTCTCGATCCACTCCCTGGGGCCAACTTTGAAGGGGCCCCAGGACACACAAAGAAATACACACACATAAAAATATTCCCCATACCTATACGACCACCCTTCGGGTGATAAGGAGGTTCGGGGGAGGAACCAACGTCTCACTCGATCGGTCTCACTATCGATCTCACTATCGATCTCAGTATCGGTCTCGCTCGATCGATCTCCCTCGATCGATCTCACAATCGATCTCACTCGATCTATCTCACAATTGATTTGACAATCGATCTCACAATCGATCTCACAATCGATATCACATTCGGTCTCACTATCGATTTCACTATCGATATCACAACCGCTCTCACAATCGACGTCATCATCATCAACAACAACGTCAACATCAACATCATCATCACCAACATCATCCTAATCGGAACACCGTCCTCATCATCAACACCAACATCATCATCATCACTGTCATCAACATCATCGGGGCACCACCATCATCATCATCACCATCATCACAATCATCATCATCAACATCATCATCATCATCAGCAGCATCGGGACACAGTCATCGTCGTCATCATCATCAGCAGCATCATCATCGGGACACCATCATGATCACCATCGTTAGCATCATCATCAGCATCGGAACACCATCATCATCATCATTTCATCCTCATCATCGACATCATCATCATCATCATAATCAGCATCATCAACATCATCATCAGCATCATCATCATCGTCGTCATCATCATCGGGGCACCATCATCATCATCAACAACATCAGCATCAACATCATCATCATCATCATCATCACCATCGGGACGCCATCATCATCAACATCATCACAATCACCATCATAATAATCATCATCATCGGGACGCCATAATCATCATCAACCTCATCATCATCAACATCATCATCATCGGGACACAATCATAGTCAGCATCATCAACATCAACATCATCATACTCATCACCATCCGGACACCATCATCGTCATCATCATGATCATCAACATAATCATCATGAACATCATCATCCTCATCATCGGGACACCATCATCATCATCATCATCGTCATCAGCATCATCATCCACATCATCATCATCACCATCATCATCATCATCGGGACACCATCATCATCATATCATCATCATCATCATCATCATCATCATCATCATCGTCGTCCTCATTATCACCATCAGCAGCATCACCATCATCATCATCGACGTCATCATCATCAGCAGCAGCATCATCATCAGCATCACCATCACCATCATCATCATCATCATCATCATCATCATCATCATCATCATCATCATCATCATCATCATCATCATCGCGGGACACCGCGGGACACCGGCGGGACACCGCGGGGCACCGCGGGACACCGCGGGACTTTCGCGGGACACTGGCGGGACACCGCGGGCCACCGGCCGCCCGGAAGGGAGACATTTGGTCTGGCCGCGCCTCAGCCACACGGGACTTTCGCGGGACACCGGCGGGACACCGCGGGCCACCGGCCGCCCGGAAGGGAGACATTTGGTCCGGCCGCGCCTCAGCCACAGGAGACTTTCTCTCGCCCGCCCACGCAGCTTCGCCTCGCCCGCACGCGCGGCACGCACGAACACGAAACCGAAATCGATTTTCCGGTAGGGGGGCTCTCCGTTCCACTTCGATCTCACCCCCTCACCTCCGATTTTAATTTTTGGGGGGGGTTTTCGTCTTCCCCCCCCACTTCCCATATTTTCCCATATTTTCGGGGGAATCGACGATTCATTGTGTCTGTTTTTTTTTCCGTCCTGAAACTTGTCACCCTGCGCCGCCTCTTGGCGGTCCTGAGGCCCCGGTAAAGGCCCCGGAAAGCCGAGCACAGGGAACAACAACGTCCGTTAGGATCTCTCTGCACGGAGCGAGCATGCCTGGCTCTCGTGGGCTTCGGGTCGTGGCTCGGCTCGCTGTGACGGCCGCTCGGGACGATCCGGGCAGTCCCGGGAACGCCCTCGGCGAGGCGCAGCCGCTGGGACGCACCCTGGGGGTGGAAACCCGCCGAGGACCTTCCGCCGCTCCAAAGAACCTGCCGTCGTGATTTGTTCCACGACGCCAGGGTCTGGATGCCGCTCACCTACAGGCCTCCGAGAAGGGGTCCGAATAGACGGGATCGGAAGATCGCGCCGCATCGCCATACATCGACGATGCGTCGACGATACGCCGGCCACGCAGGCGTGAAGAAAACCAGGCTACACATCGAGCCGCATCGGCGACGCATTGCATCTGGGAGGCCCCGAGGTGGAGGAGGAGGAGGAGGAGGAGGAGGAGGAGGAGGAGGATAGGAGAAGGAGAAGCGGAGGAGGGGGAGCAGGGGGAACAGGCGGAGGAGGAGGAGGAGACGGAGGCCCAGAGGGTGCTGATGCTGCTAATCCCCGGACCTCTCCCGGGGTGCGTCCTGACTTGAATTCCGAGGCGAACCCAGCGGTGGCGACGAGCGTCTCCCAAGGACACTCCGTCGCTCAGACAGAACCTTCCGTCGTGCCTGTTTCACAAAGCGAGGCGCGAGGGGGATCTGGGTGCTCGGCCTCCTCCTCCTCCTCCTCCTCCTCCTCCTCCTCCTCCTCCTCCTCCTCCCCTCCTCCTCCTCCCTCCCTCTCTCCTCGCTCCTCCTCCTCGCTCCTCCTCCTCCTCCTCCTCCTCCTCCTCCCTCGCTGGCGGGAGGGAGGCCCCGGCGGCGAGGCCTCGGCACTGCCGCCGCCGTCGGGGTGCGCCGCCGCGGCGCGGGCGCGGAAGGCGCGCCGCAGCTCCGCGGGCTCCAGGTCCTGCCCGGGCGCGGCGCCGAGGATCTCCAGGGCCTCGCGCAAGGGGGGGGGGGAAAGCGGCGGTCAACTTCGAAGGAGCCCAGGGGCACGCAGATAAATACACACACGCGCACGACACACACACACACACACACACACACACACACACACACACACACACGCACACACACACCACACACGCACACACACACACACGCACGCACGCACGCACGCACGCACGCACGCACGCACGCACGCACGCACGCACGCACGCACGCACGCACGCACGCACGCACGCACGCACGCACGCACGCACGCACGCACGCACGACACACACACACACACACACACACACACACACACACACACACACACACACACACGCGCGCGCGCACGACACACACACACACACACACACACACACACGCACACGCGCGCACGAATCCTAGGATCCCCCTCTACGTTTCCAGATTTCCTGGGTGTTTGTCGTCCCCCCACTTCCCATAGTGTCGCGGATTTCTCTGGGGACCGACGGTTCATTGTGTCTTTGTGTTTTTTCCCCTCAGACATTTCGATGATCCTCAGAGCGTGTGCTAATTGTCACTGCACCGACCTCGCAGACGTGCTGCAGCGGATTTTCTTTGCGTGGACTTCTGTCAACGCAGAGCCCCGAAATGGCGAGCGAGAAACGAAGTTAATTTCACGTGTATTGTTTTTACTCTCCATTCCTGGCCGAAAAAAATTCCGCACGAAATTCACTTCGAAATCTGGAACGACATTAATTATCCTGGACACTCCGGGTGCATCCGATTGAAATCCGAACGAAATCCGCTGTGCGATGTCGGCGCCGTGATAATTGCCAACGTGCGCCTGTCCACCGAAGCCCTTCGACTCCAACTCCGACCCAGGCAGTGTGACAAGGGCCGGCACAAGCTGCGCGCCATCGGCAGAGCCGAATGGGGCAACCACACATTGGGCCAACACACGTTGCGAGGATCGTCGAGGCGACTGCCAACTGAGCGACGACAGGAAAGGGGCCTTACGCGAGATGACACGGCGACCTCACGCATCAGCTTGCGCGGGCCGCCGGCGCAGCACACTGCAGTGGAGACGAGGGCGCTCACGCGAGACCCTGTCTGCCTCAATGTACATCTCGTCGACGCAAAACTCGATGATATTCCTATGACATGTTGGGGTTGGTACCCGAGGGGTGGTCATCATCCCTATGTGACCATGGGCGACGGCCCTATGAGAGGGCTGAATCCTGGGTGCCGCATGCTCGTGGGCTAAGTGCTGGATAGCGCGGTGAGAGATTCGTATTCCAAATCCCTTATTAATCGTCCCCCGGGTCCGGTTTTTTAAGGCGCCTTTTTGGTCAGTAAGGGGGTCCGGTTTATTAGGTCGCTTTCTTTGGATTGGAGCTGACGGGGTCTGGTTTATTAAGGCGCCCCATCGAAGAGGGGGTCCGGAACATTAGGTCGCATTTGGAGGGGGGTCCGGTTTTTTAGGGGGGGGGTCGATTAATAAGGGATTTGGAGTACATGCCAATGTTTTTGGGCGTCGCTCAACCAAACTGCCGAAGTAGCTCGAGGAATGTCCCTCGGGGCTTTTCCTGCCCTCCGCGAGCGCCGCCACCCTGGAGGCGGCCCTGCGGGCCAGCGCGGAGGGGTCCGCAGGCCTGGGCCCTCCAGGGATGCGCCTGTCTGCACATCTGGGCCCCCTCCAGGGGGAGGGGGGGGGAAGGAAGAAGGAGGAGGAGGAGGAAAGGGAGGAGGAGGAGGAGGAGGAGGAGGAGGGAGGAGGAGGAGGAGGACGAGGGGGGAAGGAGGAGGAGGAGGACGAGGAGGAGGAGGATCATCTGGACGCCCGGGATGGGCACGAGAAATAAGGGTACGATGCCCAACAAGAAATGTGGTCCAAAACTGGCAGCGGCCGCGGTTGGGCAGGCGGCCTTCTGCCTAGATTGGACAGAGTCCGCGGCGACACGGGCAGCGAGTCCTGTTCAACATGGGCAAGGAGCTGCTGTCCGTCTTCGGAACCATTCTTTCCGATCCACTTCGATCGTCCCGAGTCACGATCGGCGATCGGCTTCGCGGGGCGCACGTCCGCAGCACGCACAGACGAATCGTTGAGGGGGCCTCCCGGGAGCTTCTTGCGGGCCTCTTGGAGGCCTCTTGGGGGCCTCTTGGCGGCCTCTCGGCGGCCTCTTTGGGGTCTCTTTGAGACTCATGGTGAGATCCTGGCGTCCCCAACGTTTCCGAGCCGGGCGTTGGCGGGACCCTCAAGGGTCGACCCGGCTCGAAGAAGGGCGCAGAAAGCTGCGGTCTATATAGGGCTCTGGTCGCGCTTTGCCTCTCGATCTGTCGTCGAGACGTCGGCTCTCAGGGGAGGGGGAAGGGGGGAGACGTGTACCCTGATGGTCCGCTACCGAAAATTTCCGGTAGCGCTCCGCAGAGATCGGTCGCTACCGAAATACCGAAATGTAGCGCCCAGTACCGGTATCAGAGCGTTCTGACATCCGCTATTTCAACGCCCTCAAACGAAGATCCGGTCGCTACCGAAATTCGGAGTGCGTCGAAATCGCTACCGAAAATTTCCGGTACCAGACCATCTGGGTACGCAGGGCCGCCCGGGGGCAGGGAGGGCCACGAGCGGCGAGCGGGTCCACCTCCGCGCCCCCTCGCGGTCTGGGCTCCGGGGCGCGCTCCCGCGGAGGCGCGGCCGCACTGTCTAGGGCCCAAGCCCGGGGGATATGTACGAGGGGGGGGGCGTCCACCCTCGATCGGAGGGGGCGCCCCAACGATTATAGCCCCCTTTCGCGTGCTTCCCCGCGCTGTCCCTGCTTTTCCGAGCGGAGGCATCTTGCATCGACCCGTCGGGGGCTGGGCGGGAAGCACAGCGGCCGCGAGCGGATGCGCTCCGCGCGGGGCACCCGCGACGAAGCGCCCCTGCCCGCGAGACCGCAACTATACGGATACGCTGTGGCCGCCCACGAGCGGCCCGGACGCCTGAGACACACACACACACACACACACACACACACACACACACACACACACACACACACACTCGCGCTGGGACAGAAAACAGGACGGGGTGTCTGTGGCCGCTTGCGGCCTCCGGTGAGTAGCACTAAGCCCTAATATTTTGGGAGGGGACCTGAATTAAGGGGCCCAAAAACAATAGGGATCGGCAGCAACGATTTTGCAACTGCCGATGCATCAAGCCACAACGCCGCCCAGATACATCGCCCCTTCTAATGCTAAGTCGGGGACCTATCAGTGAGGCCACGCCTGCACTCTGTTCTTCGGGCCAGGGGTTCCTTCGTCCTCGATGACCCAGGGGCCCTCGCTGGGCCCCAGCGCAGTCCACAAACGGACTCGGGATGAAGAACCCAGACCACCGACGCTGTGATTTTTTCACGGCGTCGACCCCGGGAGGTCTGGACCCCTTCCCCCGGACCGGGCTTTCATCCCGAATCGTTTTTTGACGGCCCCGAGGTCCCGGAAGGGCCCACGGAGGCCGCAACTAGCGAAAAACCTCCCGTCGTGTTTTTGTTCACGGCCGGAACAGGCCCTGCGGAGCAGGGTCGGGACTTCTGGGGACCCCGGTGCCAAACAAGCGGAGGCACTGCACGTCTGGGGTGGGGGAGGGGAGGCGAGGCTCGAGGAGTCCTCGGGCTGGGAAACTGGAGAGGGCAGCCGAGGAGGGCGGGGAGGAGGATTTTCCCTCGAGGGCCCCTGGGCAGAACATCACCAACGCGGCCTCAGGCCGATCCTGCTGCATGAGATGCCTCCTCTCTCAGCCGAATCCTCTCCGCAAGGGCCGACATTCCAGGAGTCGAAATCAGGCCCGAGCGAGAGGAGGAGGAGGAGGACAGGCCAGGGTCGGCTGCCTTGTGCAGGACATACTTGGCCGAGGCACGACAGGTGGTGCCAACACTTGCAGCAACAGTGCCCCGAGACCTGTAATGGGGCGGGAGGCCTCGACGGATGCGTGACAAAGCGCCTCGCCCGCTAGGGCCAGGTGGTCCGCACATCCCGCCGAGGAGATAGCACCGCTTGCTGGTGAAGGCGCCGCAGCGGAAACATAACACAGTCGGGGCGCACTCGTCATCCTGCACAAAAGTCGTGCACAGGAGGTGGCCGCGCTCGCTCTCAGCGCCCTGCAACTTACGTAGCGCCGTGGGGAGACCCTTGCACCCGTCCATGGGTCTGGAGTCTCCGATGGCCGTCTTGAAAAATTTAGAGCACCTGGAGAGCGACGGGATTTCCTCATCCCCAGGGTCCAGAACGAGCCAGTCGTGCCACTCTATGGCACGGAGGGTCCGAGCTTTCACCCTAGGAGCCGTGGGGTCCCGTTGAAACTGGAGTTTCGGAAAAAGCGACAAAACTGCACCGAACATGGCCACCAGCTTACGTAGGAGGGCCACGTCCTTGTCTAATTGCTCCAGCTCCTCGCCTAGCAGCGAGGGGTGCAGAGACAAAGCATACTTAGCCAGACGGTCCGCATCCTGATTCCCAAGAGCGACCTTGCGTTCCTGGGCGGGAAGAGCGGCTATCACCTCGCCCGACCTATGTGCTGGCGTGTGGGCAAAGGAAGCAATGCAACGCTGGCCTGACTCCTGGAGGGCACGCCTCCGAAGTCCAGCGAAGACATGGCCTGGGTCCAATTGTACGGACGGGCGCGCATTAGCCAGGTGAGCGACTCCCAGACAGTCCGAGTGGGCCTCACTAGGGCCTGTAGCCACACAGGAGAGAGTGGCAGCCCCGAGGTGTTCTCCCGACTGGGCCGTCTGGGGAAGGCCAGGCCAAACCGTTCCAAAGAGTCGAGCGCGAACCTCATACGGGGCCTCGCTCGACGAGTCGAAGAAAACGGCCGCATACGTGGCACGATTCAGATCGCGAAAAACAAACTGAGTAGCCGAGCCGTCAACAACGATACGGGTGTTGACAGTTCGCTCACAAAACTCCTCGACCGATAGTGGCTCGCCTGACGGTCCTTGGAGCAGGGGATCAAGCTCGAGGCAAGGAGGGGGAGCCTCAGGCTGAGCCACCATAAGCCGAGACCAAAACAGCAGTCTTTCAGGCGAGCAGTTGCGTGCCGCTAGTATCTCCTCGTCTGAGAGATGCTCACGGCGTGCTGCTTCGACGGTCGGGTCCGAGCAAACGAACTGCCTGTGGACTAAGGAGTCGGGCCCCCCGCAGAGGGGGCACAAACCATCCGAAACGTACCCCGAGGATTTCAGCCGATCCGCAGTCCAACAGGCCCCAGAGAAACACGAATAAAGCAAATACTTCTGCCGACCGTCGAGCTTCTTTGAGCGCAGCATTCGTCTCAGGGGGTCGGGTGAGACGCGGGAAAAAGTGAACATCGGAGTTGCCTGGGCCATCCTACGCTCGTGCATCCTCTGTACTCCCTCCGCAAGCAGCTTATTGAGGAGGGCAGGCGAAGTGTACATCAGGTCGATGACATAACCTCGCTCGTCGTGCCACACTGAGAAACCTGCCGCTTTCCAGCCAATCCTGCGCATACATAAGAGCATTCTATGGATGGGACATTTCGGTTTTTTTTGGCCAGCCCGCGGGTTCCAGATCAAGCTCGTGGCCCTCGACAATACCCCTCCATATCTGTATGTGCTGCCGAAAGGAGAAAGGGGGAGTGGAAGGTGTGGTAATCGATCTCCAGAGACTGAATGCCCACTGGTGGGCTGGTGCCACCGACTGTTCCCACGCAGGGTCGCCGTGCAAAACCGACTTGGCCGTCAGCGAGGCCCCCCGATGTGCTGGACTTCTGCCTGCTAACAATACTCGCTGCAACGATTGAAGCTCTGCGATCGACATGCCTAGCACCGCTGCACCATATCCAGCGGCAGGGCGCACTCCAGCGATGTAAATCTTCTGCATTCTCGATTTATCCCGAGGAAGTTTCCGACGATAGTGAGAAATCAGCCTGTGTCTGTTCCTCATCATCCTGAAACGTTCTTTCCTCTTACTCACACCTCCTTTGCATGTTCTCCGTTGACCTGGGGCCAGGTCCGTGCCCAGCGAGACGGCCGCGCTGGTCGCAGCCGAAGGACAGACGGCACGGAGACGACGGCACAGACGGTATGCGAGCCTCTGAGAAGAGGCGAACGTGATGGCCTTGTCCTC